CTGGGAGCATGCAGTGAGCATGGTTTCAAGCACAGTAAACGGTTTACCTATAGACGCATATATGTGGCTGTTTGGTACTAAAGCCCACCTGCCGAGAGGCTGCATATATGCGTATGGCTGGCAGAAAGTGGTAAATGAGTACAGTACTTATAATTGCAGTATTTTAAATACTTTATTTATCCACTTCCCAACTGGTCCATGTATATAAACGGCCAGATAGGAGCAGTGCAGGAGCGGGTTGTCGTTCATAAACGGCGCCCGCCATTTTAGCCTGTGCGCGGTCCCTGGGAGCGCACGGCACCACGATCCGGTGCCCGCTAGTATGCATCCCGCTGTATGGGATATCTGTGTGAGGTCCCGATCATGTGATCACTGATTGGCGCCAATCAGTGATCACATGAATAGTAGTAAGCAAGATGTCACTTCTGACATCATTGCTTACTATGTGTGAAATCTGTGAATGATCACAGAGATCACATGGTACAAGGCTATTCACAACAGCCTTGTACCATGTGACAAGCTGTGACCAATCACAGCTCTCACAGTATTTCTCAATGGCTGTAAGAATTCAGCCAGAGAGAAAGAGAAATGATTGCTTTTACAGCCTTTATGGGTGTAAAAGCAATCAGTGTAAAAAAAAAAAAAATCTTCATCACCCCCCACAAGTAGTACAGTGTCACTATGGTGACACTGTACTGCTAGGGTGACAGTATGTTAAAAAAAAAACATAAATAATAATATGAAAAAATAAAATAAAAATGTAAAAAAAAATTAGAAAAATGATAATTTTTGGTTATAAACTAATTTGGGGTATTTTTTTTTACTACAAAAAGATAACAGAATACATTTTGGCCAAGATTTGAGAAGAAAGATTATTTATTTGCAAAATTTTATAAGTAATACACAAATTTTTGGACTTTTTCATTTATATAGCAAAAAAAAAAAAAAATCCCAGTGACAGATAAAGTTTTATCTGTCTCAAAAAATGCTAAAAAATTCATATGGGTACAGTGTTGCATGACCGCGCAATTGTCATTCAAAGTGTGACAGCGCTGAAAGCTGAAAATTGGCCTGGACAGAAAGGGGGTAAAAGTGTCTGGACTTTAAGTGGTTAATGCATGGTCAGATGGACTGTAGCTCAATGCAGAGCCTGATTAGAAGAACACAACAATATGTTGTTCATTTTTCTAAAATAAATACATTCTGTGTAGAGCAGCAGCTGCAAAACTCTCAGATGTCTCTGAGAAAAACGTGACAATGACTGTGGGTGTGACATAGAAAACGCCATTGTCTTATCCATCCCAAATACAAAAGACAGTGATGTTAGTACCAGTAATCGCAGTTTTGCACACTGACAGTTGAAACCCAGAACAATCATCTGACTTTGTGGGGGCTGGTTAACCCACTTTCCCTGGCATTCCTAGCAGATAGGTGACACGATTGTTCTTTTCTTTGGCAAGGGTGGGCAAGGAACACCAGATACAACATCAAGTTCAGGTTCTAGTGAGACATTTCACTAGTGTGTTGTGACGGTGATACTACATTTATAAGCAGCTGTTAGGATGGGGAATAACATCAGGGCGACACAAGAAGAGTGAAAAGGGGTTTTACATTTCCCTGTGTTGCCTTATTGTTGTCTGTTATGGATGGCATTGGCCAGAATAACTTTAATCCATTATAGGCTTTTTTAATGCTCTTCATCATTCTGGAGGTTGTGGGTAAGCTATGAGATCTATAAAATCCCACAGCTTCTGGGAAATGTTCTAGATTTTGGATTCAGAGATTCATTAAAATGTTTACAAAACCTACTGTATGTACTCAAAGCAGAGTTTTTACAACTCCCCTCTAACAAAAATTGCCACCACAAAACAAAGTATAAACTATGTAGTCGAACAATATGGTAAATGACATCAATGGGTGACCCCGTCCCTTTGTTTACTCAAGCAGCAGGGAGAACTGTTGATGTCATTCAGTATAAGGCAAGTAATGGGATTGGTCGGGTGTCAGTGGGCGTTGTTTTTTTTTTCTGTTCAGCAGCCGTTGTTCATGATGATTGACCTGGACCTACATCATTGGATGATGTACAGTATGTACATCAAGGGACTTTTTTTAAACCACAAGAGCGGGCTGTTTTACCCCCTTTCTGCCCAGGCCATTTCTTAGATTTTAGTACTGTCACACTTTGAATGACAATTACTTCTGCAGCACAGTACACAGAAAACATTTTTATTATTTTTCTAGACAGATAGAGATTTTGTTTTGGTGGTATTTATTCACTCTACATCAGCAGAAATCAAGCTGGCAGAAATCAAATGAAGCAGCTGGCAAAACAATGAGATAAATTGTATGCAAACTAGTGCAAATATATTGCCGCATGAAGAAAATTTCTGTAAAGTGAATATAATCATATGTGTAAACTCATCTGCCTAAACAAAAAGACAAATTATGCATACATAGGAGTGAGAAACATATATTTAAGGATAAATCATAAACATAAAAATGTGATTTTTAGAAAGAAGTCCCAGTGTTGTTGTACAATATGATGAGAAGATCTTTGTGTATTCACAAATCTTCTAAAAACCAAAGTGCAGCACCATATATACAGTATAATGGACTCTTAACAGAGCGTATAGGAAAAAAAGTAGTCAGAAATGCATGTATTTGAATCATCTAAACTGGGTTTCGCCATTGCTTTACATCTCCTTATACATAATCAGCAATAATATTTTCATTTTACATCTCCTCCACAGTTCTCCTCCAAGATAATATAATACCACTTCCGATAATATTTTATGTCTGTTTGGGCCCAATCCGCCTCAGGACCGACGGGCCTGGCAGGAATTGGAGGAGAACTGTGGAGGAGATGTAAAACTTAAATATTATTGCTGATGATGTATGTGTGAGAATTTGTCACAGCCTAACCACATAGAGAGGCTCATAATTTATTCACCTATTTTCCAGACAACCTTTTATATTTTTGGAGGCTCTGAGGAACCAGGACAGTAGAAACACTCACAAAATTACCACATTTTGGAGAGTAAATACCCCAAGGTATTTTTTTAAAAAGCATGCTTTTTTGTTACAGGTTTTTGTAAGATACAGAAAGAAAGTGAAAATGTATATTTAACTTAAAGTTGTCACTTTAATAAGTTATTTTCCCCACACAGCATGGGAATACTTAGAGTTACAATCCAAAACACATTCTTTTATTCCTATCAAGTATGGTGGTCTCACAAGTGTGAGACTTTTTCACTTTTTTGACTGATCATGTACCAAGCATTGTATCTTGTGTATCAAACAAATCAACCAATTGTGTCAAAAACAATGTATTGAAATGGTCGGTTCTGTGAGTGGTCAGGGAATTTAGCTTATTTAGCATCACCTATAGCAGTCCCCGTTCCTCTAAGCAAAGCAAGCCTAACCTACTGGTATGTGGCTGCCACCAGAAATGTCATGTTCACTGGCCAGGAGGTACAGAAGGCTGATGAAAGGTAGAATAAAAGAGTTCCTGTGGTTCCAGGAGTGGAGCTGCCAAAGGGAATAGTTGGGACTGGCATCCCGCAGAAACATAGCCAGATGTGCAGATCGGTTCGGTCAGATGGCAGGCATAGACCCAGTCAACAAACAGGTTTAGAGTCATCTGGGCAGCAGGCAGAACCATGGTCAATGAGCAGGCCAAGGTTAGTAGAGGCAGAAGGCAGAGGCAACACTGTAATGGTGTTGCAATGATCTGGAACACTGTTGCTGGCTTGCACTTGCCTGATGACACTGGGGACTAGTGTGGCAGCAATCAGGAACACCGCTGCTTAATTACACTGGTCTGGTGGCACTGGGACTGGTGTGGTGACTATCAGGGACATTGTTGCTGGCTTACACTGGTGTGGTGACACTGCAACATGTGTGGCCGGGATAAGGAATACCGTTTCTCACATACACTGGTCTGGTGATACTGGAACTGGTTTGGCCAGTGATCAGGAACACTGCTGCTTAATTACACTGGTCTGGTCACCACACCAGTCGCAGTCCCACCAGACCAGTGTAATTAAGCGGCAGTGTTCCTGATTGCTGCCATACTAGTCCCCAGTATCGTCAGGCAAGTGCAAGCCAGCAACAGTGTTGTTTGCTGCACTGGCCTGGTGTTGTGGTAATCAGGAACACAGGAACAGTGGTCTGGCGATACTGTGGCTGGTATGGTGGTGACTGGAACACTGATGGCGTCTCTATTAGGTCTTGTTCACATGTGAGGTTGGGGGGTAGTAAACTGTGTAGTTGAGCTGCAGTTTTACCACCCCACCCCCTTACCCCCCCCTTTAATATTTTCAATTCCGATCTGAATTCATTGTGATAAATAACTGGTTGTTAAGGAACAGGCAGTCTGTGTCCTTATAAACTGTAACTCATTTTCTGTCAGCGGGATTCCCCACTAACAGCAGAATGTAAAGAAAATAAGTGCATGACCAACAGCATGGGGGTCAGGTCTCATATGAATTTTAAGCGGAACCTCATGCCAAAATTTAAAAAAAAATGCCACGGGACCCTCAAATATCCATATCAGACTCTGACCATGACCTTTAATACTAACCTTGACCCTAACACTGACCTAGATCAAACCGTAGTCTAGCTATTTAATATTTATTTATTGTTGTTATTATTATTATTATTATTATTAATAATAATAATAATAATACTAATAATAATCATAATAATAATACTTTGTTTACACTTTTCTCCTCTAGCACTGGTATGATGTACCTTTTTCTGTATTCAAGAGGAGAAAAAAAATACAGGGACGAGCTATACAGTGAGCACAGGATCTGTAATATTAGAAGCCTAGCTCTGTAAAAGAAGTCAATTTGTACTTACAGTACCTTTCTAATTGCCTGTGTATTTAAAGTGTTACTGAACCCACAACAGTAAACTCTCTCTGTATATGTAGTAAAGCATGCTTGTGATGCTCATGTGGAATCTAAGGGGTTAATCCTCTACATTGTCAAAAAGGCTTCTTCACCCCTCCTCTTGTTCAAATGTCCATGCTGATAAGACAGATTGAACCTGTAGCCCTTCTGCACATGTTCAGGTTAGTGTTTATTGCTAGAGAGTTTTTTCTTTCTTGGGAGAGTGCATGTTATCAGCATAAGGCCAATCAGCACTGTCCAGACAGAGGTCAGGGGTTTTGCATACTCCTAGAAAAGAAAGAAAACTCCTCCTACAAGCTTTAATCAGTGCTCTGCTGATCACTGATAGAAGTCACAAGACTGCTCTAACTGCTGATGAGAAAATATATTTAGCAGTTTATATTTACTAAAATAATTGCACTTCCATGTTCTGTGTACTGTGGGAGACCAGATTTAGTGAATGCAGGGTCCTGGGTTTAGTAACACTTTAAATGTCACCGCTTCACTGCTCCATGGTTGTCTGAAACTTTTCAGTCCCTCCATGTGGGATAATTTTCAGTTCAATTTAAAACATACAGTCATTCTTAACCAGGTCTAAACATTCTGTAATAATTTACGAACTATGAGGAAGAACCATTGCATACAGTAGGAGGAGCAGTTATTTACACACCCAGAAGTGTATAGATGGACTTCTTTTATAAGTTGCCCTAAGAAATAGTATCATTTTAAGCAAATATTCCTTATATTAAACATTTAGGGCACAGTTACATTTGTGCATTCCTGCAAAGGGCATTACCAGAATGCATGCGCACTATTGTAGTACCATTTATTGTGAATAGGGCAACAATGTATGGTACAGTAGCATAGACATGTGAATGACAAAAAATGTTGTTTCATTTAGTTCCCAATGCTTTTGTTCATTGAAAAATTTTGCTTCATCATATTTGTTGTGTTGAACCGATTCATTTCCTTTATATTTGGCATTTGTTTCATATATTCATTGGTCCAGGTGGATTAGAAAAATGTTGTCACGTTTTGAAAACTTTCAAACCTAAGAATTGCATTAGCTTGTGGAACTGAAGTGACTGACTGTGACAATTAAAAATTCAATTTAAATCTCAAATTTACTGGAATCTGAATTATTGAACACCTTCCAAAATTTAATTAATCTCCCCAGGGGCCTGAACTACTATTGAATCATGTGCCATCATCCAAATGAAATGAAAGCATTTGTTAATTTTGTTATAACTTTTTTGGATTTGTTACTATGTCAGAGATTCATATACATTCGAATCTCCAAAAATCAAATTTTTGGAAGAAAATGTATTTGTTTCTAAACAAAATGTACATATCTACAGTAGAGCAAAATTCATCATATAATAAATGGGCTGCCTTAATAAAATACATGTTAACTAAGGATAAGCTGAACTGCCCTGGGTTTGATTTGAGCAAGGTTTGATGAATGTTTAGGAAGTTCAGGTGCTCAACCTGAACAATGCTGAAATCAATGGGTACTAAATCTGTCAAAATATAAATACTAATTTTCTAGGATAAAGGCAAGGGAGTGTCAACAAATAGCATGGGGGTAGGCAGTGCCCTGGGGAACATGTACCAATGCAAAAAAAAAAATGCATTTGGCCAGATGCAATGATTTAAAAAAAAAACTTCTTACAATTAAAAATTAAAAATACCCAATTCCTTCAGCTAGTTCCAGACTTTGGGTGTGCTATATATGCCCCCAAAAAAATCATCAATGTACATAGGACATGTGTATTATGTCCGATTCTTTGCCCTCTTCCCCCCTCCCAGTACACAGCAAGTTGGCTCCCTTTATTCAAAGTTGTTTATAAATAACACTTGCACAGACACTACAGAAAGATACAATGTAACATATTGTTACTTTTGTATCATTCTGTTAATTCATCTTCAGATCAAAGGGATGAACTTGATCTGCAGGTGATGTCAGTTAAAGCAATCTGACAAGTTTTTTGTTTTTTTTTTTAAATAAAATGTTTCTCTGTTTAACTCCTTAGTATACTTTAATCAGCCCTAATTAACTCCTTATTATTCTTATCCATTCAGTTATTTTTTCCTGCTGATTTTTTTTGTTTTTAGTTTATTAACCAATAATATTTAAACCTTTTTTTGTTTTATGTTTGTTTTATTCATTAATATTGTTACACATTTACATATATTTACACATTTCACATTTTAAAAAATGCTAAATTGAAAAGAAAACAGAAAGTTGATGACTGACAACCACCACTCTTTGTGCAAAGCAGAGGGGAGAACTGAGGGATCACCAGTGTTTGATCACTCAGTTCTCAGTGCAGAGCCAGTGGGGGACATTGATCAATGTTGCATCCACCCCGAAGAGTATATATATATATATATATATATATATATATTATATATATATACTTATTTTTATTTACCCCATATTTCTTTTTTGATAATGCAATTTTATCATTTTCAGTTTTGCATTTACAGTTTAAATATGTAATTTCATTTTTATATATTTTTATTATAGACAGTGTTTTCTTGCATCAAAAATTTAGCAATAGTCACAAGAGAATAGTGTTGATAATTTTTCCTATGCTTTCCATCAATATCAGTTATCGATAAAGTACATCTATTAAGACAGAAATATAGATACTGTATGTACTGTAGACTGATGTTGTTGAGCCCCTTTTGAAAATGCTAGTTGCTATGTCTAACTTTAGAGTAGTGCTGATCAATTTTTTCTCATGCTTTCTGTTAACATTCAGTTATCCATAGAATACACCTGCCTAGACAGACATATAGATATGTACTATAGATTACTGTAGATTACTGTTGAGCCCCTTTTGAGAATATTTTTTACCTTGCTGTGTCTGAATTCAGTACTTCTAAAATGGAAAAAATGCAGCAGTTGGAAAATCAAAACTCCTTATTTCTATATTTATTCTGAGTCAAGGACTAAAAGTATTAAGCTAAAGCATCAGCATGGTAACCAGACTGCGGCACATTGCACCTTTACTTAGGGCTCAATCATTGAGGCTTCTATGATTAACCCTAAGATTGAAATGCGTCAGTGGAGAAGCAGAATTCAGTAGGAGATACCATGTGCCAAGGACAATAAAATGTGGTTAAAAGAAAGAAACAACAGTGTAGAGTAAGTGGTTCTGTTGCTGTTTTTTTTTTGTTTGGTAGAAGAGGTTAGCAATAGCAGTCTGAATATTTCTTCAACATTAGCATAATAATAGCATCAATGGCTCTCTTTATTTGTAGAGATATGTTAGCTTCCCATATATTCTGTTGTACAATACACTTCACCTGAATCTTTTATGGTGATTTTTTCTTAGCAATCTATATTGAATTATACATAATAGTAATACGCATAATCATTATTCATTCAAAGTCACAAGCTAGAATTTCTTTTCTTGAGTAGTTACACGCCTTTTTCAGACACAGTAAGGAAGAAATGATCTGGTTCCACAAATGGGCTAAGCAACTATACTCAAAGAATTTTCTCCAACCTCCACAGCGTTATTAAGCAACCAAGGATTAAACTGCCCCCTGCAGGAGAAATGGATACTAGGCACACAAAAAAATTGAAGGCAAGCCCCTAGATACCCCTTCCACCTCACACATGCTCAATTCAATTGGTGTGCTTAGGAGAATGGATGTATGTGTACATATACATACATAATGTCAACAGTCATTATCCCTTATCGCTGCCATATCAGTCATGTGATGATGTTGTACTGCTCTGGTGACAGTATGCAAAAACAATTGTAAAAAAAAAAAAAATTCTATATTTTCCCAAATATTATGACTAAAAAATTATGATTTAAAAAAGAAACACCATGCCACTTACTAAATACCTTGGGCTGTCTGCTTTTCAAAAAGGGGGTCGTCGTTTGTAGTGTATTTCTGCTACCCTGCCATTTTAGGGCCTCAAGAAATGAGACTGACAGTACATCAGGTTTGATCAATTTTCAAATATATGTACCATAGATTGTAAATTCTATAACTTTCACACAGACTAAATAATATACACGGATTTGGGTTATTTTAACCAAAGAAATGTAGAAGGATACATGTTGCCTTAAATTAATGGAGAAAGTTTTTTTTTAACACATTCAATTTTCATTGAAAAAGTAAAACTATTTTGACAGGTTTTCCATATTGTCACAGATTTTAATCACACATATCTTATTGAACATTAAACAATGATATCATGACTCATAGTCCCAAGCCTTCAAACACTACAGTTAACATTTCTTAATGGGTTGGCATCAGGTGGCATTTTAAGATACCTATATTAAGAAAAGGAAAACTATAATAAATAAAGGAGAGGAAAAGAATAGAGAATCTAACTATTGTTGTACTCCATTAGTGCATTAATTTAAGAGGAAGAGAAAAGTGAGGCTCAGGTTGAAATCCAGAAGAAAGATTGTTTCCTAAATTTTATAACAGAAATGAATAACAATGTGGTTTTTTTTTTCAAAATGTTTGGTACTTTATCATTTATATAGCAAAAAAAAAACCCAGTGGTGATTACCACCAAAATAAGTCTCTGTCTCAAAAACTACTAAAAGTTTCATTTGGATACAGTGTTGTATGACTGAGCAATTGTCATTCAAAGTGTGAGGGCTCTGAAATGTGAAAATTGGTCTGGTCAGGAAGGGGGTGAAAGTGTCCAGTATTGAAGTGGTTGGGTAGCAACTGATGAGCTCACCTCTCAGCTCCCATTAGCATGTTTACAATTTGGGACTATCAGCAAGACTGTGCAAAAAAGTTTTCCTAACTGGCTGACACTCCTGTCTTTTATCGACCATTCTGAGCCATTGGGAACATTTATTAAATGTCAGCAGATACTGTATTTGTAGCTGTTGACTTTTTTTTTTTTTGTACAGATTAGTGGAGCTCCTCTTTAACAGCAACAAGGAACTTTAAAAATGGTAGGTTTGGTTTTTAGCATTTATTTGAGTTGTTTTATGGTGCTAATTTAGACACAGAGTAAAGTTTTTCCACAATTTAGCTGCGCCATTCCAGTGTTTTTCATTGTTTGTAAAGTAGAATAACATTTGCAGTCCTACAGGTGCTGCTAATGTAAGCAAGGAATTAGCAGTGAGGGTCTATAGCAGGGGTTAAAATTTCGAGTCCAAACCTACTAGCTGGTCACAAAACTTACTCTCCACCAGTTGCCCCACCCAACCTTGACCAGGTCCGCCCCAACCCCACCCCCAGCCTGCCCCCAACCACGCCCCCTTAAAGCTTATTAAATTACATTTTTCCTTAGAATAAATAGTCCAAAATATAAAACTGTACACAGTAATGTATATCCCAGCTCCCCTGTACTCCATTATAGTGATATGACATGTATACAGTATGTATATCCCAGCTCCCCTGTACTCCATTATAG